TATTCCAGATTGTGTAAGTAAAGTTACTCAGTAAAACTTTTTTCTTGGGTGTGTGTCTGTGTGTATATATGTGTGTGTAACAGGTAACTTTTCAGACATATTAATTTTCCAAAGAACAAGATTCTAAATAAAGAACATTAAAACATTCCTGGAAGGAACCAATATTTTGATTACACAGCTCAAGGAGCAAATGATTATCAAAACAAAACTTCAAAGACAGCTATAGATACATGTTTTAGTTCTCAAGCTTTTCAAATCTCAAAGACAGCAGCATTATATTTCATTCAGCAAATAACAATTTAATTCTTAGAAAGGAAAATTTCCAGAATACCAAACCAAAATGTATGTAGTGACAACCAGGATTATGTTAAAAACAAAGGAAAAAAAAGGACACCTTTGTATGATTTTAAAACACCAAGAGTACACTTACAACTTCGAAAATATACTGATAAAAACATATTCACTAATTTATTTAGCTACGTCTGTTTATTAAAATATTTAGATATGTAATAAATATGCAGATGTTGAATTTTATCAGAATTAGCCCATATTTATAAATCATCTTCCACAGCAGCTAAATTCCTTATAGAATGTCCAATAGCAAAATTAGGCATATAAATTTCAAATTAGCATCTCCAGCTATGAGGCTTCTCTAATTCTACCTGAAATAAAGATTATGAGTATATAACAGCCTTAACTTATTTCTGTTAATTGGTACAATTTAATAGTAGCTTCAGAAAAAGGATGTTCAACAGGTAGTATTTCTTAGTCATTACAAAAACTCAGTACAATCAATTCAAATGAGTAATTATGGTATGTCCTAGCTAAACGAGACTCTCCAAGGAATTACAGGTTTTATACTTGTGTGCTCTGAATATATTTTCTGATTCAGACAAGTAGCCAGGTGTGTAAAACCCAAACATGAAGAAGGTTTCATACCACCTTTTGTGATATAGAAAAAAAAAAAAATCACAATACCAGCACTTTTATTTAGGATGACAATAAACTAATCATAATGTGAAGTGTCCAAGCAAACTGAATAACTCCATGGTCTCATGTAACTGGAAGAAATACTTTTTCTTCACATTTACAGAAACTAAATTTATTGATACTAGTAACTGGTTTGTCAAAGTGGCAACTATTCAAGATCTAAAAGTCTCACTTATTTTAAATCCATACTGAATTTGACTACTTATACTCAATGTAACTGTCTCCAGCCAAACTACAATGAACATGTAAGATAAATTTCAAAGGTTTTGTAAGTATTAATGGCACCATGAAACCTCTGCAAAGATTATTTGGGGGGGGGGGGGAGTTTCCCTTCTCCACTGACAGTTTAATCACTTTCCAATCAATTTGATTTAACAGTGGTTCATGGGATTAATTTTTTTAATGAGTTCTTAGAAAGTTGCAATTGCTTCCAAAATCAGAAACCACACTATACGGATGTAACTACTACTATCGAGGTATTTACGGAAAGGTGCAGGTAAGAGTTCAGATGTAAACACAGGTTAACGTACACCAGACTTCAAAATAATAATTTGTTTGTACAGTATGGCCAGAAAAAAATATTCTATATAAGAAGTCTAAAAATCCAGTCCTTATTTTAATCCATTTCTATAAATCATAAAAACAAAGGAAAATAGGTATCTATTCTAGAAACTTCATGTACCTGTGGAAAATGGAACACAAGTAAATTCTATTCAAGGTGAACCTTAATGTCCAATAGAGTACAGCATACAACTTACATATTTTCAATTTTGAAAATATTGTGAAAATCTAAGCCATCAGAGTCAATAGTAGTTTATGATCAGTAAACATTTCCTGTTAAATAACACAAATAAATTCAACTTAAAAGATGCAAACCGGTAGGTCACAGGACTTTAAAACCTTTTCATTTCAAAGGCACAGAGTTACTGCACATGTATAGGATGGGGCTTTAAAATGGGTATGCGTAAACTTTTCCATGGTGTTGGTGTATGTGCTTTTTTTTTCCCTTAAAGAAATGCCTACTGCTTACAGAGTAAAAGAATCTCCACCACTCTGTCTGCAGTTTTCAACCAGAAGTCCTCAGTGTACCTTAAGCCAAATTGAATATTAGGTATTTTACAGCTTTTACAAAATGGCTGTAAAATCATATTATGGGCATACACAGCTCTTTGATCTCACTGCACAGAATTCATAACTGTTCAATAATGCTATACCATTACACCACACACCTTAAACTATTTCCATTTTTCCACAATTCCTTCCAAAATCAGCTTCCAGAGCACAGCAATGTAACATGCAAAGTTCCTGGGAGGGCTTGTTACACAAAAGAACAGCTTGGAAACAAACTGATCTACACAATATCCATCTTCTGTTGAGCCTGCTTTAGCCCTCCTTTCCCTCCATCACTGCTAAAGGTGGGTGCGTTTGAGTCATGGAAAGAGGAGGCTCTTCCATCACCACACCCTCCCAGCACCTCTGCTGCTGGTCCTCACGCAGGGCTTCTGTGTAGGTGATGAAAAATCTTAAGAAAAGAGAAGCTGTCCCTTTAAAATGCCCTGCTCTGTCCCACATCCCACGTGGAAACCAACATCAGCAGCACTTTCCCATTAACTTCACTGTGATGCAAGAGGCACCATCCTTTTCTATACATAAAACCAGAAAACCTCGGCTGGACATTCTTTCCTGAGGATGAGCAGGTGAAGCAAACGTGTCAGGAGGCGAGGAGCTCAGTAACTCCCCACCCCACCCCAAAAGGTGCTCCAGTCTTGCACACCAGCCTCTGTGTGCACCACCACCTCCCTACCCCTCCTCTGTAGAGCCTAGTTTAAAGAAAGGAGGGAGCCACCAACAAAACCTGAAGCATAAATGCGACGAAAATGCAATTCAAAGCCGAAAGGGTTTATTCTTCCAATCACACATATTAACTCTATTAAGAAAATGGCATCACTTTTTTTTTTCCACCGGGGGGAGAGAAAAAAAAACCCGCAACGATCATTAAAACAGAGTTATAAAATAGCAAATATAGTGTTTATCTTATGTCAGATCAGCCCACATTACCATTAAGTTTAGCAGTTTCTGCACTACCACCTCCCCCCCCCTCCCCCTCCTTCTCGAGCATCGGATTTTCACGTTTTCTCATTGTCGGTTGAGTTATAAAAGGCTTTTGCCCTTCGAAAGTTTTGAAAAAATAAATAAATATTAACTCCTTGGTCCCTGCAAAGTCAAAATGGACTTCAGGGGAAAGGCGGTTCATCCTTTTACCTTGAGCGAGAAAAGGGGGAGCATCCCGGATTTTTTGGGATTTTTTTGCGATTTTTAAAAAATTTTTATTTGGTTATATGCCTGAGTTCTCCCTCCATTTTGGTTGTTTATGATACTGACAACAAGCTGTCCCTGGTCTGTGCAGATCTCCTGCTTTCATTTAGCACCCCCCTCCCCCCCCGCAGCCACACACCCGGGGCTCACACCTCCTCGCAGACCCCGCACCCCGACCCCGACTCGCCCACCTGAGGAAAGGGCGAAAACAAATGCATTTCTCCAAAAAAGAAAAACCTCTTTTGAAAAAAGGGGCAAAGTTCCCCCCAAGTCACTCCAAGTGCCCCCCAAATATTGCCGACTGCGGGTTTCCGCCAGGCCCTTTGGGGACCCACCTTCCCCCGGGATGTTTTGGTAGAAAATGCGGAGAGTTTACTCTCAAAACCGAATTTATATTAATTTTTCCCTTATTTTTCGGGTCTCTAATGTCTTCCGCTCTCGCTGCTGCCGCTGCCGCTGTCACAATATTCGCAGCACCAGAGAGGAGGCGGAGGAGGAGGAAAACTTTTCAAACTTTCCAGACCCTGAATAAAGGGGTTTTTTTTTTTCCCACCGACCTCACCTTCGGGTCTCCAGCCGCATCGCCCCCTGCCCTGTCAGAAGCGACTTCGGGAGTCCCCGCACCCCCGCCCGATTATTTTTATTTTATTTTTTATTATTATTTTTCTCTCTGGGGTCCTGAGCAGGGGCTGAGAGCAGCACAAACTTTTTCCTCCTCCTTTCGCCGCCGCGGCTCCTCTGCCCCCTCAGCGAGTCCCATAATTTAAATAACCCTGATATTTCTCCCGCTAAACGCCTCTCCGCCGCCCCGGACCCCGGGAGAACTCACCGCGGGGCTTTAACATCCTCCCTCCGGCCCGTCCGCCGCCTTTACACCGCCCGCGGAATTTCTAATAATTTTTTTCTCATATTTCGGGCTGGACGCGGCGGGCCTGGAAATTGTTTCCTTACGCCTCTTTCCAGCAGCCATTGTAGTGTATGCGCTGCCCCTGCAGCCCAACTTGCAGCTGCCGCCGCCGCCGCCGCCGCCGCCGCCGACGTCGAACTGGGGGCGGGGCGAGGCCCGCCCGCCCCCGCCGAGCCGGGACCCTCTCGGCTGTCAGTCAGGCGGCGGGGCGCGCTGATTGGGTCGGCGGCCGCCGAGGAGCGGGGGCAGCACGTTGGGATGCGCGCTACTTAAGGCCCAGCTGCGTGAGCCATTGACGTGTTTGGAGCTGGAGACGGCCTGGGCGCTGGCGGAGCGGCCGCCCGAGGTGAGTGGTTTCCCCGCCCCCCCACTCCCCCCCATCTCCCCCCGCTTTCTCTCCGCCGCGGCTGCAGGGCTGCGGGAAGAGACTGGCGCGCCCGGGCCGCCGCGGGACCCGCAGTCGCGTCTCTGGCGTGAAGCCGCCTCCACCAGGCCTCGCCTAGGCGCGGGCCTCTTGCCGTTGCGCTTCCTCGTGGCGACGCGGGTCTCCTCGGGCCGGGGCCGAGGAGGTGCCCCCTGCCCGGGAACCCCCAGCCCTTCCTTCACCTTTCCTTCCCAGCCTTTGGGGCGTAATCGGCCCCCGCCTCCCCGCCCGTGCCCCCAGTTCCCTGCGTTTTCTTCGCCCCCTGCCCTCCTGGGTGCCGTCGAAAGTGAGAGCAAGGTGTGTTCACCTGCGCCCACCGCTCACAAGATTGGACGGGCAGCTTTCTGGAGGCCGCGGGCCTGGGGTCGCCTCGCTCCGGGGTCTCCTCTGGCCTTCCCCGGCCCCTCCGCAAGGCCACCCCGACTTCCTGATCCGCCGCCTGCTCCCAGACGTACGTTGGAGGGTCGAATGCCTCGAGGGACGCGTTGCGGGTTCCCGACGGCTGCTCCTGCGGTGGGGAGGCCCGCAGCCCTACCTGGGCTCGGACAGCCTGGGGGCGCGGGCGGTGGTGGTGGCAGGGGGCCTTGGACCGGTCAGCAGCGTTCCCTTCCCTTGCAAAGCTGCTCCGAGTGGGGACGTGGAACCAGTGGATGGAAAGTCAAGAAATACTGTTTAAAGTAGTTTGCCCTTTGCAGAAAGCGTTGAGAGCTCTTCCTCAAATGTGCTGTGTTTTTTTTTGCGCCTCCTCCTTCAAATCGTTGGTTTCTCTCTGACTGTCCTCTGCGGACAGAGCTTAGGCATGTTTGTTTGTTACCTTCAGAGAGTAAGTAGATGAGGCCTCCCTAGCGGAACAGCCACTTTCAGCCCCGCTCCTCACTGTAAACTGACATTTCCTCTTCATTTCCAGTTATTACATGTGGGTTCGTGCAGAGCAGGTGACAGTCGGAAATCCAGACTTAGATTGACTGGGATTTAGAACCCGGAAGGGAAAGGAAAGGAACGGTGAATAAATTCCTACAGCAAACCTGATTCGGTATATATGATGTTACCTAGGTGGTCCGACGATGGTGATAGAAAGTAGAACACTTTCACGGAAGGGGGGCAACCTGAGTTCAGTCTGCGTCCCATCATTGTTGAGATTACATCCAAGGAGTGTGAACAGCGGAGCAGAGCTCTGTGTTCAGAGCCCGGGACACATGTAGACAAGAAAGCCGTGAGTTCATTTTGTGCCCTCACCTGTCTTAGGAAGAAGTCAAGCCCGCAAAGAAATTGTGTTCTGGAGAGGAAGAAGCCTCTAGGTACAGTTGAACAGCATCTTGAATTTTCTTCTTGCCAAGAGATTTCTGTTAGCTAAGTGTACTCACGTATTGGTCAATGAAGATCATAAAATAGATTACTTACTGAAAGGACCTGGAAGGGTTAGACTTTTTTCCATCCTTCTTTGCAAAGGTTATCCCCTTTAGCTTGGACATCCTGATCTTTCTTGTAAAAGAGAAAGGGAACTAGTTGACTCATGATCCTAGAATACCTCCACTTCTCAGGAGCTTATGGGGGTTTGATTGTTTTTCCTGAACGTACTTATGGCTCATATTTTTTGATGGCCCCATCTTGGGGAAGGGAAGTAGAAACCATTTTGTACAGAAGTTCAGAGCTCTGTCTAGTTATACTGACGCAGTTTTTTATTCATTGGTGTTTTGGGTAGGTCATCCTACATTATTTGCTGTCTTCTTTGATCTTGAGGTAAAAGTTAAGCTAGAGTGGGATTCAGGGGTAGGTTCCATAAAGTTAGTGCTGAGCATTTAAAAATATTTGTGGGTGGCTCATTGATAATATGCCAATATGTTGAAATAAAGAATTGTGTTTAACAAGTAGTTGAGTTTTTTTAAAAAAAAAAATTGTCTTTTAGTTCATGTCTATGATGTGTCTTTGAAGATAACAGGCATACCAATTTCAGTTAGATTCATTAGAGAGGGCAGTTGTCCTGGGATAATATAGGTGACCTACTTGTTATAAGAGTATATGATTTGACTTGGAATCCCTAATTGGCTCTTAGAGAACTGTGTTCATCTTTAATTGATAAAGGCTCCTTCAGGCTGTATGCCTATAGGGCTTTAACCAGAAGATGAATGTGCCGCAGTGGTGTTCCCTTACCTCCTTTATCCCTGGAAGTATCAGTTAAGTAGAAGATGCCTTTGGGAAGTTAAGTTTCAGATTTCCTTTTTTTTAACTTTTCAAAATGTCCACTGAGCAATAACTTTGGTGGTTTATTTATTTATTTATTGGTATATTGGCCAGGACAGGCCACAGAGTAGACATTCAGGTACTTTAGTTGACAAATTTTTCCTAAGTTGAGTTGTACTAAATTATTCCACCCTTACTTTGTGTGCTAATCAGTGTATAATAAGGAAGTAATCAGTAGAATGAATGCTGTATTTTTGTTAACGTATTTGTTTAGTTTATAGATATTATTGTCTTTTAGTCACTTAAAGTCAGTCTGACTCTGCAACTTCATAGACTGTAGCCTGCCAGGCTCCTCTGTCCATGGAATTCTCCAGGCAAGAATACTGGAGTGGGTTGTCAGTACTACCTCCAGGGGGTCTTCTCAACCCAGGGGTAGAACTCTTGTCTCCTGCATTGGCAGGCAGATTCTTTACCACTGAGCCACCTTTAGAAATAGGAGTAAACTAAAACTGAATTTTAGCGTAACTTTCTCTCTGAACATTGTAGTCAGATTTCAGTAGAGGCACTTAAACAGTTTAAACAAGGCCTTAGTGCTGAGGCATGAGTCAGTGTAGAGAATCACATCCAAGTCTTCATTCTGAAAATACAGAGAGCGCGTGAGTTCCTCACTAGAAAGTCTTTATGCCAGAGTTAGCTCTTCAGGTCCTGTACTTGCGGAGTTGATGAGGCTTAACCGACTCGTGTGCCATCCACTGTGTTACCCTTCCCAACCTCTGCCTGCAGGGAGAAGACACTTAGGATGCCCATGGTGACGCGGAGGCTGAGGGACCCTGACATAAACCCTTGCTTGTCGGTAAGCTGGTTGGCTTTGAATTGTCACAAGTATTAAGTTGGAAAAATAAGCGTCTTCTGATTTTGTGGGCATCAGTTTTCTGCAATTCTTGAATAAAGTTATTCCTGTACAAGAAACATTCATGGCCTGTGTATCCTTATTTCACAAGAGCATTTTTAGATATTCATCATTTAGCTGACAAAGACTCATCTCTTTTTTGAGTTTCCCTAATTTGTAGAGCATACAAGCTTTTAGTTGTCACTCTTAACACTAGACAAGCATGTGCAACACTGAGGAAATTCTTGAGTCCAAACATTCAAAGTTGGAAAGTAGGTATTTTTAGATGGTTACTGAAATTTATGTTTTGATAGCAATGATTTCATCATGTCCCTGAGACCACCTCGCTGAGAGTGAAGGGCTGATAACTGAATTAGAGTATTTAAAGCCTGAAGGTTTTCACAAGGGTATCAATGTAAACAAAACATTTTGTTGTTAAAATCATTTATTGGCATTTATTGCCAATTCTTAGCAGTTCTTAACTTGTGGCATTGTCATCCTTGAATAAGGCAGCCATCGAACTGGTGCTATGAAAATTATATTTCCCAATTCATATGCATTTTCCAAATATACACATTTGTTAAATATTTGGCATGGAGTATTGGCTTTGTTCTACTTGAAATCTGTTTTCAGCAGTTTTCCTAAGTTGCTTTAGATAAACCATGTTTCTCAGATCTGTGAAGCAAATTACTTGCCCTTAATTTAAAGTTTTCCTTTAGATGACTTCTCAGAATCATGCCTTTCACTTTGAAGTTTGTTATCCAATCTACTTCCAGTTCAGACAGCTAAACTTTAATTACCAAATGGCAGCTACCCTCCTTTGAACTTGTAGCCCCGTGTGGCTCACTTCAGTTTTGAAGTGATATTAATGATACCTATTAAAATTACTGACATAATAGTGTATTTTCTTGCATAATGGAGTGAATGATAGCCAAACTTACATTGAGATGAATGTCGTTACTTTAATTTACCTTGTTGTAGACCAGTCATTAGCTGTTTACTTAGGGTCTTGAAACCACCTTAACATCAAGTTCAACTCCAGGTGAGAACTTGGAGGAGTGGAGAGCTGCCCTCTGAGTCAGGAGATGAGGTTTGGCTTCTGCTATGCAGCAGTGAATTTTTTTTTTCTTTTGGCCCTGCTTTACAGTCTTAGTTCCCCAACAGGGATTAAACCCAGGCCCCTGGGAGTGAAAGTGTTTGAAACTATCTCCAGTTATCTGCTCTGGGGGACGCAGCTTCAGAGGTGTGTGTATCTGTTTTTTAGATGCCACTCTGCCTCCTAAATGCTGCCTGTCTTGCATATTTAAGGAATCGGACGCGTCTACCAGATGCATGGCCGAAAATAACTATGACAAGGAGAGCTGTTCCTCTCACTTCTTGAAGTACAAGAACTGCCGGAAGTTCTGGGTAAGCTTGGCTCGGTCACCTCTGTTAGAACTCATCTGTTAAGCATGAGTCTGAAGCCTGAGGTTTGTCAGAACCCACCACCCTTCCTTAGATGGCTGTGGGAAGCCCACCTTTCCGACCACATCCCCCGTGTGCCCTCAGGACCCTCGGGCACTCTCGTTGGCTGCCTCACCCTCTCCCATGTGTGAGGATGTAGCTCCAACCGAGGTGGGTCTGCCTACGTGGATCAGTATCTTGTCATCATGTTAGTTTTCTAAAGGTGGATGGACTGGCGGGCTTGCCCTGTCACCATATGTATCCGGCTTCTTTTCCTGCCTCCTACTCCCCCACCGCTGCCCATGGTCCCCGTTTTCTATATATATTGTAATTTCTGCTTCTCTGAGCACTGGCTCCAATGGCTTCCTTTCCCTGTGTTCACTCACCTGTTGTGGTCACCTGTTGGCTCCTTTGGGCAGTTGTTCTGAGCTCTTGGTGAGCTGTGCTCCTGGGCTGGTAGTTCAACACTGTATCCCCATCCTAGTAACAGGTGACATATTCTTGTGGGAATATTGGGGCTTCCCTGGAGGCATGATAGTAGAGAACTTACCTGCAATGCAGGAGATGCGGGTTTGATCCCTGGGTCAGGAACATCCCCTGGATAAGGAAATGACAACCCACTCCAGTATTCTTGCCTAGGAAATCCCAGAGACAGAGGAGCCGGGCGGGCTACAGTCCATGGGGTCACAAAGCAGTCGGACAAGACTTGGCAATTAAACTACCACCACCACCAAGAGAATAATCACTTCTGTTTAATGCATAATCTCAAAACGTTATCTAGAGTCCTAGAATTTATTTTTTTTTAACCTGCCCTTTTGTGTTTCCTTTTAGAAGACGCAATAGCCGATTACTGGCAGTTGATTGGCATTTAGTATGTGACTGATTCTGGTTTCTTCTCTTTTGTACATACTTGTAGAACTCTGTCATGATCCAGAGAAGACAGAACGGAGTGAAGCCGCCCATGCCCACAGCAGCAGAGAGAGACGAGATCTTAGGAGCAATGGGGAAGATGCCCTATTGAGTGTTTGCATTAAAATTGTTTATTTAACTTAGGCACAGATAAATATTTTAATAAGTGGTTACTGCGACTTCATAAGACCTTTCGGGCCTTACCCAGACAGAACTCGGATTCCTCAGGGGAAGTCCCATGTCCTCCGCTTCTGCTGTCAGTGCCACGATGAGAGTGGGCCACCCCGGCTCTGCCACGTCCCCGACTTCACAAGACTTGCTGAAGGCAATGGGGCCTTAGGAACAGCTCGGTGGAGAGTTGAGCTTTTCCGCTGGGTCTTGAGAGAAAGAAGTAAGATGCGAACAAGGGAGGGATTAACGGGGGTGAAAGGGAGGCAGTGTCTCCAAGGAAGGGAAGTGATGTGCGTGACAGCACCACAGAGGGCGGGCTGGAGCCGCGTGTGGAGAGCAGTGTGTGGACTGTCCCCCTGGAGGGGTGGTGGGGAGCAGACTGGACGGCAGGTCCAGGGTGAGTACCCGTTGGGCCTGTCCCAGGCATATCACTAAGGTCTCTTCCCTGACATCACTCATGTACCTTGATTTAAAAAGCCTTGGGGAGGCACGGGTGTCTTTAAGTGACATACAGAGAACTGGTTTTCTTTATGTTTCCTTAAGGATGGGCTTAGTCAAAGGATTCTGTGACTGCAGTCTGTGATTACTGGACAGCCTTCTAAAGAAAAGGTGATGCTTTCAGAGGTGGGGTTTCTACCTGCAGGATGAGATGGACAAGGAGGGGCTGGGGTTCGTCAGGTGATTGCAACACAGGATGAGGCTGGAGCTGAGCTTCATTTTATGATATAAAAGCGAGAATATTCAGTATCATGACTGGGGTGGTGTTGTAAAGCAGGTTTCAAACTCACCGCCTTTTAAAATCCAGGGTCTTTCATTTACAGGATTGCTTTGTAAAAGACACATTATTTGATCAAATTTCATGTGTACAGAAAGTGAAAACAGATAGTATGTGTCCCTTCTCTTCGTCTGGTCCTGGTGCAGGAATATTAACGACAGCCGCTGACACAAACTGTCCAGCTCGTTGGTTCTAGTCCAAAACCCAGGTCAGAGGTTTTTAAACTATGGAACTTTTATTTTCAAGTATGATTCTATTCAAATAAAAGGTAGAATTGTTTCAGAAATTCCTTGATTTGTATTGATTGCCAAAATGATGGATTTAGATAGGAGCTGACAAGAAATGAATACTTACTGTGTAAGAAACATTTCAGTACTTCTAGGTGTATTTAAGAGTGGAATTTCAACATCACCTTTTTAAATGTACATACCAATATCCACATTTATTTGTCCTGGCCTAGCTCTTTTTATTTTTAAGTAGCAGGTTTATCAACGTGCAATTTGTATACCATGTAAATCATTTGTTTAAAGTGTACAGTGCAATGGTTTTTTATTAGTAGTATATTGACAAAATTGTCATCCATCCCCACAATTGATTTTAGGAGGCATCACCCCAGAAAGAAAGCCTGTACCTGTTAGCACTCTTGATCTGCTCCTAACACACACCACCCTTCATCCCCACTTTACATCCCCAACACTCAGGCACCTACTCACCTACTTTTTGTCTCTAGAATTGCCTGCTCTGGACATTTCCATAAATGGCATCGTGCACCTTGTGATCTTTGGTGACTGGTTTCTTTTCCTCAACCTCATGTTCTCAAGGTTCAGTCCCGATGCTGATATCAGTGCTTCATTTTGTTGCTGACAAAGCTTCCATTGTGTGAATATACCACATTTCATTTATACGTTCATCAGTTGACAGGTATTTGGGTTGTTTGCGTTATTGGCTTTTTTATGAGGTGTGTTGCTTCTTGAAACTTGTGTGTACAAGTTTTTGCATAGACAGCGTCTTTTTGGATATATGCCCAGCAGTTGAACCGGTGTGACCATACTGGGTCATGTGGTGAGTACATTTAGTCTTTTGAGGAGCCAGCATGTTTTCTAGAGTGGCAGCACCACTTGACAGCATATCAGAGTTCCAGTTTTTTCACATGCTCGTTAACATTTATTGTAACAACCGCGTTTGATGACAGCCATCCTAGAGGGCCTGAGCTGGTACCTCATTGGGGTTTTCATTTGCATTTCCCTGATGGCTGATGATGCTGAGCATCTTTTTACATACATACCGGCCACTTAGAGATCTTCTTTGGAGAAATGTTTGCTCAGATCCTTTGCCCATTTTTATTTTTTTATTTTTTCATTTATTTTTATTAGTTGGAGGCTAATTACTTCACAACATTGCAGTGGATTTTGTCATACATTGACATGAATCAGCCATGGAGTTACATGTGTTCCCCATCCCAATCCCCCCTCCTACCTCCCTCTCCACCCAATTCCTCTGGGTCTTCCCAGTGCAGCAGGCCTGAGCACTTGTCTCATGCATCCCACCTGGGCTGGTGATCTGTTTCACTATAGATAATATACATGCTGTTCTCTCGAAACATCCCACCCTCGCTTTCTCCCACAGAGTCCAAAAGTCTGTTCTGTACATCTGTGTCTCTTTTTCTGTTTTGCATATAGGGTTATCATTACCATCTTGCTAAATTCCATATATATGTGTTAGTATGCTGTAATGTTCTTTATCTTTCTGGCTTACTTCACTCTGTATAATGGGCTCCAGTTTCATCCATCTCATTAGAACTGATTCAAATGAATTCTTTTTAACAGCTGAGTAATATTCCATGGTGTATATGTACCACAGCTTCCTTATCCATTCGTCTGCTGATGCCTTTGCCCATTTTTAAATTGGGTTGTGTATCTTTATCACTGCCAGAGTCCTTTACACACACTAGATACACGTCCCTGATAAAATACATGGTTTGTAAATTTTATCTCCCATTCTGAATATGTTGTGTTTGCACTTCACGGTGTCTTTTGAAACACAGAAGCTTTTCATTCTGATGTAGTCCAATTCATGGTGGTGGTTGTAGCTTTTGGTGTCATGTCTACAAAAAAGTCCAAAGGTTAACATATGTGTTTCTTCTAAGAGCTACATGGTTGTAGTTATCCAGATATTCTTGAAGGATGGAAGCAATGTCATCCACTATAATGGACGTAGCAATGTCAACTACTCCAAGAAGCAGTTCTGTCCATAACACCTTCCTAGGAAGCTTCTAGTATATAGTAAATGATCAACAGCTCTGTATGTGTTTGGGGAAGGCAGACTTTTAAAACTGAACATGTTGGAAAACACGGCAGATTCAAACAATATGAATGGGTATACAATGTAAATAAATTTGCCCAGAAGCAGCCAATGTCAGGGGTTTTCAAGGTCTTGCATGCAAGTACAGGCACATCCCAGTGCTTCCCAGGTGACCCAGTGGCACAGTTCAATCCCTGGGTCAGGAAGATTCCCCTGGAGAAGGAAGTGGCAACCCACTCCAGTATTCTTGCCTGGGAAGTGCCATGGACAGAGGAGCCTGGCAGGCCTACAGTCTGTGGGGTCACAAAAGAGTTGGACACAACTTAGCAAGTAAACAGCAGTTATAGCTGTATATTTGGTTTGCAAAAGAACATGGTAGTGCGTGAGTGGAGACGCGTGGCCTTTTCCACTGAGCAGTGTAGTTTGGAATAGTTCTGCATGGCTGGTTACAGGTCCACTGTAGGTCTTTCCTTGTGAGATACTAGGTCATGGACCCATTTCCCAGAGATGGATTCCTTTCCTCTTAGAAGTAATGTCAGCTATGAGTGCTTTGCCTGTTCTTTTATCTATATGCTGCATTTCTAAGAGTGAAATTTCTAGGCTGAAGATTTCATTAGTTTGAATTTTGTAGTTACTCCTTCCCCCAGGAAGCATGCCTTCACAGTCCTGGATGAAAAGCCTGTGAGTCCTTCCTTGTTCCTCAGGCCCTCATTCCCGCTGGGCACTTTAAAACTTCCATCCTTATCGTTGATGAGTGAAAAATGGAATGGGCATATTTATTTCCTTTGCCCTTTTTTTTTCTTCTTCTTAGATTGTTGCTAATGCTTGGCTTGGTAAGAAAATTTATTAATACCTGTTTGTCATATGTATTCTATCTATTTTTCCCAGTTTGTCTTTTAACTTTGCATTTTCATTTCAGAGCAGTATTTTACATTTTAAGGTAATTAAATGGATCAGTCTTTTTGCTTATGGTTTCTGCTGCTCAATAAGTATTAAATGAATCCAGCTGCAAGCACTGCAGTTTGATTCTACTCCACAAGCCTTAGCAAAGTGCCCACAGTGTGCAGAGCGCTGGGGTAACCATCGGGAGGAGCAAGGCACCACCGGCCTCAGGAGACTTTGAGATGGTCCCTGGAGGATGGGCCCCTGGGAGGGGCAGAAGCAAGCTTGCCAGAGGGTGAGTGACCTTGACAGACACATCCTCTTATTGGCTGGAAGAGTAGATGAAGGCAGTGGCAGGGGCTGTGGACAGGTGGCTTAGGATCACATTGTGTGTGGCCTCGAAGGCTGTTCCAAGGACTTAAACTTGACTCTACAGAAGGGAAAGCTCTGCAGGGTTCTGAGATAAAGAAGGTCAAGTCAACACACTTGACTTGTGTGTTGAGAAGGGTAATTGTGGAGAGGCTGGTTCAGAGGTTATGGTGATGGTCCGGGATCCCTTCTACCATCTACACTGTCTCCCGCAGAAATCCTGGTCCACTTCAGGCCCTCCTTGGTATGGCAGCCCAGTGACCCCCCTACTTGCCTCCTTGAACTTCCCGAGACCTGCCATCACCTTAGGGTAAACATCCACATTCCCTCCTCTTGTTTACATGGTCCTGGCCATCCAGCAACATGTGTAAAGGGTGCAGACTTGAGCAGGGTGGGGAGGGTGTGTTTTTGGACACACTAGACCCAGGCTCTGTCCTCAAGGGCCCTAGTCTTCAGGGAGGGAGACCGATAACACAGCTGCCTCCTCCCAGACACAGGGTCTCCTGCACCCACGCAGCTCCCTGAGCGACCTGGTCCTCCCAGCCAAGCGCCCCAGCCTCCTGGGCTGCAGTCGGGTCTCCCCGGACCTTCAGCCCCTGGCTGTGTCTGCAGCCTCTGTACCACCTCATCACAGCCCGTCTCACTT